GTGTGTGTGTGTGTGTGTGTGTGTGTGTATATCTCTACACTCAACTCAGAATGTGATTTCCTTTTAATAGAAAATGTAGACCAAATATAATTCTGGTGTTATGATGACTAGCATGAAGATGGTCACACTGACATCAAACAAGAGAAAGACCCAGGAGTTACAAAAGGTAAAAAGTGATGTGACCACTAGGACAGAGCCTACCTGTGGTGGAACCGACTATGGCTGTGTTCTGGTCCACAGCCTCTAGGAATTGCCCAATGACAAGAGGAATGCTCTGTATCCTCTTCACTTCCTCCTGGGCATGAAGAAATTCTTTCTTCAGATTCTTTTGCTCATCTTTGATGTACTCTTCTTGCACTTCTAGGAACTCCAGTTCCTGCTGCAGCTTCTATTGAGTAGGAAAGGTGATTTGTACACAGTTTGCAAGACATTATGAGCTAAAAGTGCAGAGAGCAGTGCTACTCCTAAATGTAAAAAGGGCTGAAAACTCATTTGTTCTCTATTACGCCAGGTTCACTACATTATTTTGTTTCGTTGAGTTCTGAGAGTTATTTCAGTTGATTAAGGGCTCGCTACTAGCTACTCTGGTATCTTACATTCATCTATGGAAACCTTTCATCTAACCAAGCACAATGTTTTAATTATCAGAATATTCAAATATTATGCAGTGTTAGAAAATATGTAGAATCAATCTGCAAGCAGTGATTAAGTGCCATATGGTTACTAACAACCACCCAATGGCCCCAAGATTCCATAGACAAAATATGAGTGAACATGAGAAAAGCTTATATTTAGCCAAAATGATTTGGAAGATGGAACATTCTTACAGTGTATAACAAAAGTCAGGGTTTAATGCTTTAAGGTCTAGTAGTTTCAGGAACATGTACTGGAAATCCAAATTGTGCATTGGCAATGATACTTCAAGAATCTATGTTACTAGATAAGCTAAAAAAAAATATTTTGAAAAACTATATATAGTTAGGACCAAATGTATATGGAAGAAATTATATTTCAGTGAAAAAAGTCACTGCAGCCATGTTGTTTTCACAGTCATCCATCCATCCATCCACTACAACAAAGGACAAACATTACAGCGAGTTTCAAATAAACAAGAACAATGTTTCAAAGATGCAGTACTGTGGCCTGTACTACGAAGCGGGGTTACTGGCTTATCAGGGTAACTTATTGGATTTAAGGTAGTCTGGGCAAAAGGTAAGTGAGCGAATATGAAGTCCATTTAAACTGTGATACCTTAAATCCGACAAGTTACCCCAATAAGCCAGTAACCCCGCTTCGTAGTACAGGCCACAGGGTAAACTCATTATAACCACCAAACTTAACAGCTTTATTATACTAATGATTTAAAGGAAGGACTTGAATTAGTTCAATTTGACCAACGCTGATATTAATAAAGACAATTCCATATGGGCCATTCAGAAAAGCTTATGTGCATTTAAAATCAGTTGTTTTTAATATCTGATGTGAATTACTTTATTCACCACCCATTGCCTTTTACTGTTATTCTGTGACATTTTGATTCTCTCGAATAACATAATTAAAAAAAAAGCTAACATTTTTCACTTGTAGCAGCTGTATTTGATGTCACTATTTTCATTCAGCAAAATGCCAATGCCAAGTTAGAATTTTTTTAATCCCTTGCAACAAATTCAAATAGCATATATTTCTCAGTTTCAACATTTGATATGTTGTCTTTGCTCTATTTTCTATTCAATCTATGTTCGGTTCAATCAAATACGGGTGTATATGATTCGTAAATCATTGCACTCTGTTTATATCTACATTTTACATAGAGTCCCAACTTTTTTGGAAAAGGGAGTGTAATTCTGTAAAGAAAAAACACCAATTTATACTTATTTATCAAGTAATAACAATTATTGCATCACTGACTAGCTACTTATGTGAATTACAGTCTTTATAAGCACAGAATCATGCAGTTGTCTCTCTTTAGGTTTATTTTTGAGTGAAATGTGGTTTTGCAATTTACAAATTTTACCTTCCAATCCAAAGGTAACAAGTTAGATTTTTAAACAGAGGAACATAAGGGAAGATAAAGAATGATACATGTACAAATAACAGAATGGAAAGGGAGACCTAGGATACCCATTAAAATAAATAAAACAGAAAATGTATATGTGCCAACACAAAATTCTTTCCAAAAAGGATCAGCGTTAAAAAAAACAAAAAAAAAACATAATACATAAAAAATATAGATTCTACAGTCTCATAGGTGAGACACAAAAAACAGAAGACAGGCTTTTGGTCAATTACTATCACCTCTTCAGTCCACCCTGGAAATGTTCCAAAATAACATCAGAATTTTTCAATAACATTGTTACTCTTATTTTTCTGCCATTTAGTTTATAGCTTATTAATTTTAATTTTGTTGATTATTCCAGCACCTATCATCTATATTACAAATAGCAAAATGAGAGTGCAACTGTCAAACCTTATATCTGCTATACAGATCTTCCAGGTCCTCGGGCTCAGGAGCTAAGAAGGACAAACCGGTCTGTGGCCGTGAAATCAGCACTGCCGGAGCGTCGTCCTGCAAAACCACGTAGTATCACATAAACCCCTCTCCCACTCTTTAGCTTAGCGGTAGCCAAGAAAAGACGCCGTTATACTGCACACTACAACAACGTATTCCTAAAAATATAATTATTTCATAATTATTATGTACCAGGTAAACATATAGATGCTAAGTAGGCAGGACACGTAACTAGTGGACTTTTCAAAAATAAAGATACTGATAATGAAATAAAATACTAATGATGATATAAGATTCGCTAAATTCAAAGACAGACGGGTGAAACTTAGAAGACAACAAGCTAAAATGAATTTTACAATACAAAATAGTAGTTACGTAACAGTTAGGTATAAAGAGGCCCAGTTAGCTTGACAGCGAATGAATTGGCACCTTTTCGATAAAACCGAGTGCTGGAAGATTATATATATATATAACTCAGATTTAGATTTAGCACGACCATTCCCCGTGCTACTATACCGTTTCGGCAAATTATGAAATGTCATTAACGGGAAAAAAAACGAAAAATATATTTACCAGAGTTTTTTCAAAGATCACACCGCCTTCATCCATAGTGGTTTGTCGCGCGAGGAAGCAGTTTACGCATGCGTTAATATGGGACAATTCGGATATTACGTGTTCGTATAGAGATTGTAGGAAATGTAGTATTTAATGATCATTGTAGTTCTGGATAGGTACGTCATCGCGTACAATGATCATTTTAATATGACGGTATGTCAGCTAAATTTCTATGCGATGAAAACGATTTCGACACTTCGTGAGGAATCATAGTGTTTTTATCCGTAATATTCTCGGCGCATACTGATTCGGCTAGACAAGGGCGTATTCGGATGGTTTCGGTTTTATTTGACTGCGAAAGTAGCATAGAGCTTGCCACGTGCTCAACAGCTATTGTTTTTTTGTGTGCAGCAGCCTTAGCGAGGAAGACTTATCTTTCTTAGTAAAGAATCGACGGGAAGCATTTACTCATTACTATGCAGAACGGGTAGATTCCTGCTATTGGTGTACGATCAATAAAATATTTGTTTTGGGTAATATGGATTTGATTATTAAATTTCCGAAATAACACTTTATAGATTGAGAAACTTCCAGGTACATTAACTCTGCATTCTTTATCTTTTCCAAGTGTCCAACTGACAACGCAGCTGACCAAAGCCTTAGACCAATGGTCTCCAACCTTTTTTACAGAGAGCTATTGCGCTAACCTGTAGGGTCCCCCTCGGTATATTTTGCCGACCAAATGTGGAGGGGTCCTCATCGACATATTTTGTCGCGGTCGACTATGAGATCGACCAAACGATCGTTTACAAGATGGCTACTGCAGCCATTTCGGGTATAAGCCCGGTGTCTAGACGGTCGCTCACTAACGCCACCCCGTAATAAAGAGCTGGTAATCACAAAAGAAATCTTTTCCTCTGTGGATTACTGGGTTTTAAGGGGCAAGCAGATATGAAAATTAAAAATGTGTTAAATAGTTTTAATACTTGATATGTTAGTAGGCTCGTGGGATCCTTTATTGGTACTGTGACTCACAGACTGCGATTTATTATGTTGATGTCTGGCATATTTAATTAATAAAATATATGATAATATTAGTGATTAATGGAGCACTACATGTTTCAAATGACTAACTACTTCACCCATCTGGCCCTGGACCTACATGTATGAGATAGATGTTATACAGATTCAAGTGACCTTGTTAACAGGTATATAAATATGGGGCGCCGTTTGTAAATTTACTGAACATTTTTGTACTTGCCACTTTTTCAATATTTAGTGCAATTTTCTGACATTTAGCTAGAAGTCAATGGTGTTGTGGATCATCAGATTTTTTTTGTTGTGTACATTAATTACTTTCAAAATTGTTTATCATATGTAATTATAAATTATATGTCTATATATAAATATTAAATGTAAATGTTATAAATGGTAAATGTAAATATAAATGTTAAATATAAATGTTAAATGTTAACATATCTAAATGTGAAATGTAAAGCTTAAATGTAAATATAAATGTTAAATATAAATGTTAAATGTAAATATAAATGTTAAATGTAGACTCTGAATGTTGAGAGCATATGCAAATTCCCCACGCCCATCTGCATAGAAATGGGCGGTATAACGACGAAAGCGCGCTAAGTCAAAAGTGCTGTGTCGCTGCGTTCCCTGCCGTTTTTTCAGTTTTTTTCCTGCCATTTTTATATAGTTTTTTTTTATATAGTTTGATACAGTTTTGCCTTTTGTGTATGAGTCTGATTTATTGGCACCGAGCTCTGGGGAAGACGCTGGCATGCTGTGTCACCGCTTTCCCTGCCGTTTTTATATATTTTTTATACAGTTTTGCCTAAATACTGAATCATTCCGGATTGTCTTATGGCCTATAATCTGTAATCCATAACCTGCTGCACTGTTCGTCTTGCCTGCCATTGACATAAGTACTCACTTACCATCCGGAAACTCTGGGCATGTCGATTAAATACTCCGCTGCACATCTCCTGAGTCTGAATACATACAGCTGACCAGCATGTATGTCTATTATCAAGGAGCTTGGACTTCTACGCCGACCTTGTTACATCCATAGAAGCTCCTGGAGAAAGTTTTTCTACTACCATCACTCCAACCACATTGCCTCAGGAATCCCGGCTCTCTGGTCGACAACTGGCACGCGCTGCACATGTCATCAGAACACTGTTGCGCGTGATCTATGTAATATGGATACTGCTGTGAGACGGCTGCCCTCTGGGCCTGGCCAAAAACCTGGAGCGCATCGGATCCACGGAGTGGATCTGACTGTGCTACAACCGCTACAACAATTTGCTGCTCCTTCTTTGGTCAAAGTTAAACTTTTTAATACACAGTCCTTGTCAAACAAAGCATCCTTCATACGGGATCACATTATTGAAAAGGAATTAGATTTCCTGTGTTTTACTGAAACATGGCATGAGCCTGCCTGGAGTATTCTTATCTCTAAATGAAGCCTGCCCCTCTGGTTACTTTTACATTGAGAAGGCACGTAGCACTGGTCGTGGAGGTGGTCTTGCTGTCATACATCATCAGGACCTGGAGTTCTTCTTTCCGTTACCTGTGTTGTCATCATTTTATGCCTTGCATTCAAATGTAAGCCTCCTTTGTCATTAACCCTTCTCATCTATCGTCCACCTGAAATTAACTCAGCTTTCTTTCCAGAATTTCAGGACTTTCTCAGTACACTCTGCACAATATCTGCCAACATTCTGATAATCGGAGATCTAAACATTGACACCTCCTCATATCACTATACTGCCGAGTTTTTCCATCTACTCGACAGTCTAAATCTGCAGCAACATGTTGATGCTCGCACTCATTCTAGGGGGTACACGCTTGATCTGGTGATAACCAACTCTGTTCCAATGACAAACCTGCAAGTATGTGACCTTGGGCTGTCAGACCACAAAGACATTTTCATGGAGTTGCCTCTTTCCTTCTCACCCTACTGCAAACAGAAGCAGCAAATCCACTTTAGATCTACAGTGCCTGACAAAAGTCTTGTCACTTAACCAAGTTGTAGGAACAACAAATAATAACTTGACCTGTAGTTAATCAGTTGTAATCAGAAATGGCTTATAAGAAAAGGCAAAGCCCTCTAGATTATGCTTATTATACCAAAATAAAGTTTTGCGTCATTCATTGAGTTTTGTCATGTAATTAGGACAGAAAGGTCAACTTTTGCCTGGACAAAAGTCTTGTCATATGCAAAAATAATGTAGAAATTATACATATATTTCATTTAGAATACACAAACATGCTACAATAACATCAGAACATAAAGTCATGGTGCCTTGGAAAAAAAATTTATAATGTGTATGACTCCCATGAGCTTGGAGGACCACATCCATACGTCTTGGCAATGACTGAAATAACTTGTTGATGAAGTCAT